AGTGGGCATAAGCTGCCAAGAAAGAAGTGTTCTCTAAATCTTTGCAAAGCTGGTACATTTTATCTTCAGTTCTCAGTCTTACAAAAGAAATACTCACGGTTATATCCTTTCAGGTCAAAATGGGATTCATCTTTTCCAAGTCTATGAATGAAAATGTCAAGAGTCAACAGGAGTTCATGCTTATGAACTCTCGACTTCAGGTTGGTTTTTATAATGGAGAATTTAACAGTGCAATGACTGTGGAGGTGTTTGCTTTGTATCTTGATGCAGGAATGGAACTGGCTAGTGCATTTACATTTTGTTTATTTGCATTTTGAAATATTTTAAGAACATGGCCAAGATCCAACAGTGGGCTACAGTATCTAATACTCTCCCCTAACAAGCCATCTCCGGTCCCATAAACCTGCTCTATAGGGGACTTTCCAGGGTAGGGCACTTATACTACTTATCCTGTGGTGAATTAATGAGATTTGAGGACCATTCTCTCTTTAGGCCCAGGGCAATTTCCAGTGGAAATTCAACAAACAGTGACTGGCATTCAGTTGGGAAGTTACACCATTGTAAACCCACATACAGTAATAAAAAGTTGAATTGCATCATTGTGCACCATTGGATTTTTGATGTATGCTTTGCAGTGTGTACCATTGCAGTTCACTAGAATCATGTCAGAGGCTTTGCTATAGCATTGTAAAGTTAGGCATCATAGCCTCTGATGCAGGATCTTGGTCATTATCTTTAAAAAAACCCAACAACCCTCAAACCTAAATTAATTGAAGTTTTAATTTATTGTATTTTGAGGCTGCAGAAATAATCTGGATTGATAACACTTTAACTGCTACAGCTCCATGGGATGAAATTCTGGGATTTGTAGTTTGTTGTGGCACCAGAGCTGTGCTGGTTTTGCAAGTGTGTCTGCAGTTCTGGTCTCATAAGAGAGCATTGGTATACCTCTGTTGCAATAGTGCTGCAATAAATTACTGCTGATCGTTGCCTGTTGAACAGTCTTTCAGGGTCAGAATCTCCATCTAATAAGGCCAGACTAAGGTGTGACACTCATTTGGAAAAGTTTCTTTTATTCCTTTCCAGACAGTTTTGGGATTGGATCCAAATTTATTTACTGGATCCATTGGCATACTTTTGTATTTCCATATATCAAACTGGAATGGAGATTTTCTTCTCTTCCAGTTCTTACTGCAACAGTCTGTAGCTCTAAATGTCTGCTCCAGAGCATATCACAGCTCTCTGGACTAGGTTTTAGAATGAAGAGAGGAGAGGTACCACAGGATCCTGACCTCTGTCATACTTGTGGAAAACACAGAGGGACATAGGTTAGTCATGCATATTGTTTTGCATTCATTTCATTATTCAGCTCCAAGTATGACTAAGTCTAGAGTCACCCCAAAAGTAATTGTTCCTGGGTGTCTTAACATCTATTCTCCAGCTGTCACTTTTCTTAATTTTTTAAACTATCAATTTTTCACTTCCATCAGTTAAGTAGACTTGAATGATTAATCAGCACACAAAGATTTTCACTTGGGTTATGGTTAAACATAGCCATAATTGTGCTGCAAGTAGGAGAGAAGATGTGCTTATTAATAGTTTTCTGCTTCCTGACTATCGGAAGCCTGTTAGTAGTAATTACTTTGGTTTCACACATAGCTGTTAGCTTCATCTGACAGCAGACAGTAATAGTCTGGTAACTTCTAATAGTGGAGAATGAAGCTTTTGACATAAGTGTGCGTATGCCATGTGAAATTTAAAACATCTTCCCTAAGGAAATGGGAATATCTAATTTCCTATCAATAGATCCTCATAGCTAACTGTCTGATAGAAATGTAAGAAGATGACTACAAATATGAATAACAAATTTATCTTATGGCTTCTCATAACCATTGTGTTATTGCTGTTCTGATTTCCTCACCAGCAACCACAAATTTGGTGGACAGGGAATGTTTCCTTACCTTTTTTCATTCATTCCCCTTTGGCGGAAAGGAAATGCTTTCATTAATGCAATAATAATTTAGTCCAGGTTTTTCAAACCCACCTTGAATATTGTACATAATATACATAATGTTACTTCTAGGCTTAACAACAACAACAACAAAAAAGTGGCTGTGTTTCTTTTAAAAATGGAGATAAGATTCAATATTACTTTATAAAAATTGGCTAGAAAATATACAAAGAATTGGTAATTGCCAGTGCAGAAGGCCCCAAACTATTTTTCATTCATATATATTTTAGCAGTTAATAATACCGTACTTTTGTCAAGTGTTGAAATGTGCATATGCACATAATCTAATATGGTATGGGGGGAATCGTGTCTGTTTCATACCATTGTCTCAACACATTATGAAGAAATGTTATTTATTTTTTAATCTGGAAGTTATTTTGATTAAATATACTGGTACTATACAAGAAAGTTTGTGCAAAAGGATATGCTAAAATAAAATGCAGGAACAGGAGCAAGAGCTGAGAGTTTAAAATTTTTTAACTTTCCCATTTAACTTTTTTTTGCTTCACGTATATTCTGCCAGTTTTTGTTTTTATAAAAAACAAGATTGTGCTAAAGATCCATATTTTAAGGCCATTAGATTATATTCCTTCTTTTATAATGACAATGTTTATTGTTTGAACATACAGTGGGCCCTTTGTACGCTTTTTAAAAAATATTTCCAAGTGTGGATAGTTGAATCCATGGATTAAAAAAAAATCCGTGGATACGGAGGGCCTTACTTTAGTTAGAGAGCAGTTGGTTATGCCAATGTGTGTGTGTATAATATATATATTGCAGTGCACTAAAGCAGAAGAGCCAGTGTGGTGTATTGATTTGAGCATTGTACTATGACTCTGTAGACCAGGGTTCAAATCCCTGTTTGACCACAGAAACCCACTGAGTGATCTTAGGCAAGTCATGCTCTGTCAGTCTCAGAGGAAGGCAATGGCAAACCCCTCTTGAACAAATCTTGCTAAGAAAAGCCAGTGATAGGGTTTCCTTCGGGTCACAAAGGCACACAACAACAAATAAAATCCCTCTGTTACACA